ATCTCTTGTTCTTGTGGTTGCTGATTAGCACTGCGTTATTTTAAGTCATCGTAATCATCTCTGCTACTGTCAAAACTTAATGCGTCACGAAAAGCATTTCCACTGGCGAGCTGCAGACTTTCATCAACAGCTGTCTTCATTCTTTAATGATAATCAAATGGTCAAGAAAGAGAAACAACAAAGAACTATGAGAACGAACCAATCAAGAACCTATCCTTGAAGAGATATGCCGAAGAAAATGAAGATGGGTTAGAGGATTTCATCATGAGCTGACATCAGTTAGAGAACTTTTGGAAACCAGCAAGGAGTACTAGTCAGCCGTTTCATCCTAGTTGGGGACTTCTCGGCAGTACGCACCCACCGCTAGCGTTGGAACTTAGGATCTTCTGGTTACAAGGCGAGCTCGCAGACCGCTAAGCTATTGGGACCCGATCCAATGGCCAGCCTATGAATTGCAACTTCTGAAAATTCACGACATAGCGTGGCCACTAGCCAATGTTGTCAGCGAGTATCTGTCCTCATACTTGACCTATTGTACCCCACTGGTCATGACTTCTCTGTGAGCTCGCTTCATAACCAGAAGGTCCTGGGTTCGAATCCGCAGTGTGGGTGCGTACCATTGAGGAGTATCAAGCCAGGGCGAAACATTTATCCAGTACTCCAAGGTTTTCCAATGGTTCTCTAAATGATATCAGCCCACGATGAAATCTTGTAACCATCAAATCAAATCCCTGCAAATCAACAACAGAAAATGGAGATGGATTGGACAAGCACTGAGGAGACCGTTGAGTAGTGTCGCATGCCAAGCCCGAATGGGAAGCAACAGCTTTGGCATGTATTTTAGCCTGACATGGACTATATCATATGAGGACAAAATGAAAGCTATCTAAAGAAGACTCCAGAGAACTAACTGAAGTTGAGATGTACTGTTGAAGCTGTATGTTTCACTCGGAACTTGATTTAATAATTTTTACCTGAGCAACACAATCAGCTCATTGAAAAGGAAACCTCTTTGTTTTTGATCGTTTTTTACACACATCACCCCATTAACGGACTGATTAGGAGTACTAGTAGTAATAAACTCAAACATGTATATAATATTTGATATGCATATTATTGTATACATATAAACTTTAATTATTCAATTTTAGTGCTACATCAATGAGGAAATATGCATCTATACGGTATTTATGAGAATAGAAGGGAAAAAAGTGTTGGACGACTTCGAAGGAAACAAATGACAACATTTAGAAGAAGGAAAAGACGACAAAGAAGAAACTTAGCACACAGAATAAAAAGTACGCTACTTTACATCTGTTGCAAAAACTAAAGTTTATAAGCCAAAAAAGAAATTAGAAATAACGATAATAAAAATGAAAAGAAAATAGATGAATACGACCAAAATGAATCAGATAATAATGCGAATAATGGTAATAATGATTGTCAGTAATGAATGAACACATTTCGACGGATATCATCAATGATTATTGTGATGAAATGAATGCCTGATAGAAAACTATAAGAATTACACAAGTTATGTGATATTAATTTTTCCTTTAACGGTCATAAGCTATCACTTTAGCAAGACAGAATATTTGTTATTAGTTTATCAAATAACATTGTTGAGGGAAACAGTGTCTAGTGCATACAGGTATGTAGATATATATATGATTTAAAACGTGATACGATGAGAATATTCATTATGTGAGAAGAAAATATGCGACACTACTCAGTATATTTTAGAGGCAAGAGAAAATAAAGTGAAATGTTTGCTCATAATTCTTCGTTTATTCATTTCTGTATTTCATGATTCTCCTAGCTGACCGTCAGATTCTGAAATCAACAAAAAACAGACAATAGTAGAATGCAGTAAATAATCGCGATTTGTTGATAGTACTGTCATAAAATAGTATCTTTTGATTGCTTGACAGTATGGATATTCTCTTATGAGCAATAATACATGTTCTTAAAGTTATGTAACAAAAATTACTGTCACCCTATGAGTTACATTAAATAAACTTATTTCTGTCTACTCAGCGGAATATTCAATAGACAAAAGTCCATTAAATTAGGATGGTTTTCTTTACTGACTCCAATGGACAATAGAACAGAATTAACTTTTATACGGAACCAACAGAACTTAGAATTTTCTGACTGAAATGCTAATGTAAAGATGTGGGATTTTTTGTAGCTTGATTTTTGAGAATAAATGTGCAGACAGAATTTATTTGAGTAGTAAATAACAATAATTCATACTGTTAGTTGCAGTGTATTTGATCAGTATGACTAGTAGGGTCCACCAGACTGAGTGTAGAGACAACAACTCACCACTGACATTGGTTGGCGGCCGCTCTATCTATTTATCTATCAATCAAAGATTGGCAGAAGTTAGAATTCATGAGCCATCGGGTTCCATCTCAGTGTGCTATTGGTCTACAAGCTTGCCTTGTAGCTCGCCTTTTATACCCGTGGTTTAATCCCTGGTGGTGTGATCTGTGTGTAGTGCTGAAGAGTCCTGAACTAGAACAAAACAGTAATCTAATACTCTCTGGCTTTCAATGATTTGTTTATTGAAGCCAGTTGATGATCAATCCTGAAATCGTATGTGGACATTGAGTTCTCTGTCTTTTTCTTTACAACAAATGATAAAAAATAAAATGATCAGAAGACTGCTTTATATGTTATCATTACTGTTCCCTTGGGAACACACAGAGCTTCAACAACACATCTCCATTCTCCTCTATTTTTTACTATCCTCTTTAGCTGAACCCACGATTGCCTAAACTCTCTCATCTCTTCCTCCATGTCACCTTCTCACCGAGGACCCACTCGTCGCTCCCCATTCGAATTCCACTCGAAGGCCTGTCGCGTGATTTCATTAGACGTTTTCCTCAATGTATTCCCTCGCCTAGTTAACTAACTTGCCAGTTTTCTAGCTGGTCCCAAGCCCGAGTAAAGAGGGAGGGTTGGGCATGAGGTTAACAACCCCATCCTGTAAAAAGTAAACACCACTGCTATTGTGCATCGGTGGCACAGTGATTAGGACTCTCGCCGACCATGCAAATGGTCCAGGGTTCGATCCTCTGCCGACGCACACCTGATATCTATGGTCGGCCGGCAAAATTTGGGCTACCAAATATCACATGCTGAAAATTCCATACCTGTACCAAAAAATACGGTGTAGAATCAAGCTGAAATAAAATAAATAAATAAAAATAATCAGAAAAAAACCCTAGCTTGCAACCCCATGTTGTACTAGGAACGTAAAGAAATAAGAAAATATACCTATTTAGATAATTTCTTATGTCATTATTTTATGACTACTTTTTCTGATTCAAAACTAAGTTAGTGTTATATCATATTTTGTATGCAATAAGAATTTGAGTTGTGCACCGATGGTTCATTCGTAGAATGATCACTGATTACTCACGTGGTACCAAACTGAAGCACTTCTAAACTTCGGTTAGATGACAGTAAGCCCAGTAGAAAGAAAAGGTTGGGCATGAAGCTAACTAACAAATATCACTGTTCCAGAAACTTCAGAGCACAAACTAAAAACTCTATTTTCCACTCGGAGTGCACACAGAATGCAAGAAGAATGTAAGTATTTTGATACTAATCAAGGTAAGCAAAATAATTAACTCACATAAATACATATACTCATATTTAAAAGTTTTTAGTACCATTTTTGATAGACCTACCTGGATTTTTAGCTTTTTTAACATCTTCTTTCTAAAGGGAGACACATTAATGTAGACAGAAAATGTAATTTTCAGCAGAAAGCTAATAGTTATACGAATTTATACTGATAAAAACAAACTTATTTTCACTAAATGGGCGTAGACACTTATTTATTTCAACATCAGAAATAACAGGCATAAAAAACTGATTTGACGACTAAAGTTTAGTTGGTAAAAAGATAGATTACCATGCAGATATGAATCTCAAACTGGAATAATCGTCTCTTATGGTAGTAAATCATTACCAATGTTTAGTTATTCAGCAAATTTCAAACATTTCATCACTTTTGCAGATGATTTATCAAGTGTTTGAGTTTGACCACGGATTGATATTAGTTAGAGAACCATTGAAAACTAAGGAGTACTTGACAGCTGTTTCGTCTTAGTCTGAGACCCCTAATCAGTATACACCCACCGGAATTCGAACCCAGGACCCTACGGCCACAGAGGGTACTCGTAAACGATTCAGTCACTGGCCAGTAAATTCCAATGTCAATCAGTCATTATCACGGGAGAGTATATCTTTTCATACCCCTTCCACTGGACCCCAGTGATCACGACTTCTCGCTAGAATTCCAGGCAACTTCCTTCCGTAGCCATTCACCAGTTAGCATTAGGTTAATTTTCGGAAGTTAGTTTGTAGGAATTCGCTTTGTTCCAAGTTTAATTGCGGATTAATATCAGCCAGAAGACCACCACTGAAAACATGGTAGAACCACTGCTTTCGTTAAAATTGTAAACTGACAGAAGTTAGATTTCAAAGGGTCGTCAAATTGGGTCCCACTGGCTAAGTGGCTTAAGTGCCTGATTATTATGAGCATTTTTAAAATGTCGAGACTTTCAACTTCATACTAACATGTTTACCATTGGAGTAAAACGTCGCACAAAGATAAAGCAGTCCAAGTTGTAACATATCATAAAATCACACACAAGAAAAGATATACATGTGAAAGAAAGAAGAGTTTAATATACAGTAGTGCAGACTGAACGAGTCAACAAGATCATAAGGAATGAAAGAATATGCATCATTGTATTTCATCATAAACTGACATTAGTCGGAGAACCATTAGAAAACCTGGAAGTACTGGACAGCTGTTTCGCCAGCCTAGTTTGGGACTCTTCATCAGTACGAATCCTAGCGGGGTTCGAACCCGGGACCTTCTGGTTACAAGGCGAGCTCGTAGACCATTGAGCCACTGGGACCCGATCCAATGGCCCGTAAATTCTAATTTCTGCCAATTCACAACATAGCGCGACCCTTGGGTTCGGACCCCGGTGGGCGCGTACTGATGAAGAGTCCCAAACTAGGACGAAACAGCTATCCAGTACTCCCAGGTTTCTCAGTGGTTCTCTAACTATTGTCAGCGTATGATGAAATCCTGTAACCAATCAAATCCCTACAAATCAACACTTGAATATCCATCACTAATGACAATTTTGAGTCACGTCACCAGTAGTCTTCAGTTACTAGTTTTTGGCGTTTCAAGGATCTCAGTCATCTAGTCTACACCTCACTATGTGTCTCTTGACTATATACAATTATAATCTACTTCCATATTTCCATTAGTTAAATGATAATTAAATGAAGCGACTGGTTATTTGTGAAGCAAAGCAAATCAACATAGTGTTGTGTTAAGTTAAGTTTCAAGATACACTTCTGTATTCCCCAGTTTCATTTTAGCATCCTTTTCATTGTGGCTTTAGACTATCTGAGTAGGCGTTTAAACAACTGTATAAAATATTGAAATGAGTACTCTAATTTTTCGTTGAGAAGGCTGAAGTTAAATTTAGTGACATATATATGGTGAATTTTTTTCATGAAACCGATGTTTACTCCTTTCTCTTATAACCCCAGTGACTGTTTTATTACTGTAGGCATAATATATGCTTGATTCTAAGTCAATTCGTATTATAAAAGACAAGTGACAGAAAGTAAACAAAATGTGTGGACAAAGTCCGCTTTCCGACACTTATCATTTGCCAATCATTGTTTAATCAAAAGTCACTTCAAAACAATCGTTTTCTTTTCTTTAAGCATTTAGCTGATTTTTAGATACTTCAGTATGTCGTCCTACATTTGGACATAAAATGTTTTCTCTTACTTTGAGAATTAGTCGATTTATTACCGTTTTGTTTCAACCACTAATGAGTGTACATAGCGTACACAGAGTTTAGCTTCACACTATACAAGTTTTAAGTATGTTTAGCAGTATTGATTTAAAAATATCATTAATTAATTTACCCGTTGTTTGTACTGCTAATATATTTGTCTTAATCAACTGGTAATTAGGTCGAATGGGAGTTTAGCCACAGAAGAATCTCTGCTGAATATCCCTTTAAGTTATAGATGTTAAAAGGTCACATAAAAATGTGCAGCACATCTTTGCCTAATGTATTTATCCCCTGATAGTTTGAAAAATATTTGATTTTTGCACCAAAGACAAACGACAACCGTTTATTTCACAAAATTTCTAATCTCCCTTCAGCTACAATACCGTCTGATGTAATGTGGTTACCTGTATACATGTGATATATTAGGCAATTCCCTATTACTTTGTTGATCAGATGTATCACACACTGAAACAGTATTATTATTTACTGGATGACGTTTCGAACAAAATTTATTGTCCGTAATCATATCAATTACAGTCACACGACTTCGAAAATTCAGTTTTATGGTTTTCTTTATTCTTTCCTACTTGTTGTAGGGGCAGTAAATTTTTCAGATGTCCGGGTGGACAGCTGTTGAACCATTCCCATTGCACGTGTTTGGAGTTGGTTCGATAAATAAAGCTTCCGTAATCAATCTCTCCCTCCACCCTGTTACATAAGATTTTAAAACTGTCATCTTATCCCATCCTATTGTATGGTTGCGTGTACTGCATGTAGTGAGTGGTATAGGTGAACTATTCTCTAGATTACTTATCTTATTCGGGTCAACTTGTCTAGATTTTGCTAGGTTTTTATGCTCAGTCAGTCTGACTCACTGACCCTGTTCTACAAGGCTCCACAGGATCCTTTAACCGACAAAGCTTGTTTCTAATTGGGTTTGTGGGTTTGAATGCCAACCACTTTTATTCCTGCCTTGTTATTAATTCTGCGTAAGGTTTCCGGGGTTCCTTCCTCGTATGGAATTACTACTGATGATTTAGGTTCCTTATTGTTGGTGTTGTCTTACGCATATTTGGCATGTATGTCATCAATATTAATATTATTATTACTGTTATCACTATCACTGCTGTTACTATTTATTTCATTTTTAAATTCGCCTACATACTTTATGACTAATTCATCAGGGTAATTATTAAGTTTCAAAGATTCTCTTATATGCCTCACTTCCTGTCTTAGATTTTCCTTGATATTTCTTATTTTTTCTGCCGTACTACGTAAATATTTCACCAATCCTATTTTCACTGATATAGGATGCCATGATCTGAAGTCCAAATATCTGTTTCCTGTAAACATTTATAACGGAAGCTTCATTTATCGAATCAACTGCAAATACGTGTAATAGGAATGATTCAACATCTGTCCAGTTGGAAATCTGGAGAATTCTACTACCCCTACGACAAGTAGAAGAGGACAAAGAAGACTATAAAGCTCAAGTTTCAAAGTCGTGTGATTACAACTGATATGACTGTGAACAATAAATTTTGTTCGAAACATTGTCGTCCAGTAAATAATATTGTTTTGCTGTGTGATACATCTAAAAAACAAACTTATATGGAATTACTTACTACCACAGTGCCCAACGTTTACACATATATTGATATATTAAGCACTTTTTAAGAGAGATATTCCACTCTTCTATACATGCTTGTCGTTTCAAAAGAACAATTCACATTTCATTATTGAACAAAGTAACCTGAACATTGTTTAGATTTTCTCTTACACAATCTCTGATGGTTTTTACCCTTACAACTCAATGCAACTTGATCTACAGAGATTAAAGTTTAGATTGTTAAAATGTCTAATCCATGAAACTTGTGGTAATTTATCAACTACAAAACATAGGACTAGCCAGTAATCAGTAGGTCGAATTCTAGTTTATATGAAATGTGTTCATTCGGTGTAATCACAGACTTATATGTCTTTTCTAGTGAATAAACTCTTCTGATTAAAACAAGATTAAGTGAATTGAAGCGTAATGGTGCTTGATGTAACATGTGTGCTCATACACTGACTTTGTCCAGGTTAGCAAATGTCCATTTCATTTGTATTTATGCAGCTTAAGCACTTGAAATAATAAAGTTGGGGCTTTTTTTATGCAGCTGGAAAAATTATTTTTTCGAAACTATCAGGTAACCAAACAAGTAATTAAGAGTATTTGGCTGCTATAAAGACAGCCACACGCTGAACTAATAAGGAGATACTGGAAGATCTGGACTTCGTGGATGATTTGTGTATAATTTGACACAATTCGAAAATCTACAAGCGAAAACCAACAAGTTGGCTGAAGAGGTAGCGAGGATAGGAGATCAAGTGAACATAAAACACACCGAGGCTATAAAGATACCTGACTACCAACAGCAACAATAAGCACTAATCACCACCATCAGGAGAAATTTGAAGGGTCACACTCTACGTCACACATCTAGGAGCCATCGTTGCAACTATAGGCTACACATATGAGGATATCACAAGGGCAAGATGGTAAAAGCGAAACAGACCTACACTAGTCTGAAATCAGTGTGGTAAACAGCTTCATTCTGCATAAGGACATTGTGCAGATTTTCAAAATTAATGTGAAGTCAGTATTTCTGTTTGGTTCAAAGAATTGGCGCTCGCTTTACAGAAGACATCTTGCTCGATAATGAAGATGAAATGGCCACCTAAAAGGAGATGAAACCAAAGAATTCTGACAACAAAGCAACCAAGAAGCTATCATCTTACCAATTTGCGGAAAAAAATAGAGATGAATTATTCATATGCTGAGGAAACCGCTAAGTATTACGATGTGCGACGCAAACCCTCGAGAGTAACCTGAATAAGAAAAGACGAAATGGGCATTCAAAGTTGACATGCCGGAGATAGTGTGAGAAGGTGATGAAAGCTCAGGGGTAGTTATGGAGTCAGCTTTAAAGAACTGCAGAGAACAGATTGAAACAAAGATGTGCTATTGAAGATATATGTTTCCTCGGAACCCAAAGGGAAGGGGACAGTCAAAAATAATCAATTAATACAAAGTAATTGAAAGTTTTGAGTCAAATTAAACAACCAAAGTAATGTTAATCATTCTGAAAATTACTGCAATAAAAAGAGACACAAACTATCATAGATCACGAATATACTGTTCCTGATTCTTTTCTTTTTTTCTTTTTATCGCATTACTTTCACGAGGTAAAGCGATGCATCAGCCAGGGACCGAACTCTTGACCACAGGTGTTCTTGGTGAGCATTCTAATGTTTAGCCACTGACACACATTATTCATGATAATGTAATTTGAATAAAAGCTATCCATGAATTTTGAAAGACATATTGTGATTTTAACTAATCCATATCATCACTTAAAAGACCTTATCAGTATTCTTCATCCTAATATAAAATCAGGTGAACTGTAAAGTATGGTGTCACTAAGATGTGTCAAAATATTTCAGTACTCTAAAACCTATTCACCTGAAACTAACCATTAGTTATCTTATCCGATATAATGCACATAACAAATTATCAAGAGATATAAATAAAAAAACAAGTCGGTTTAGACTATACATCATCTACAAAATGCACTTTTTATTCAAATAAGCATGGCAAAAGTATTTAGAAAAAATACGAGTAACTTACTTCATCTTTCCTTGGTGTTTTATCACTTGTTTGATCCTAACAATGAATTAAAGAAGGCAGAAACACGCTACACAATAAATAATGCATAGGTAATAATACATTTAACATATAGATAACCATTTATAAAGAAATAAAAAGCAAATAAAATGAATAATATTCATGCGAATAAGGACTTTGTGACTACATGTATAACACTAAGATGCATGCAGTTTAACTTTGTGATTACAAATTGAAATACACAGTTGACATTAGCGTTAAACAACAGTTTAATAACAACTATAGCGAATTTGTTTTTATCATATAGTTTTAGTAGTTCAACGCTAACCAAGTAAGCTTACCCTGGAAAGATACGGTAATCTTAGACATTAGTATTCTCTTAAACTAACACAAAACAGGATACACTATCATAGCCTGAATTTCAATGAGGTTATTTTGTAATGCTAAGCGAATCTAAGTGGACGAAAGAGATAAAACATAGTATGTATAGGGAAACCAAATAGAACATGCATTTCATAAACTGACTGAATGAATGAGTGAATTACAACATGGAACTTCGTATGGAAGTGCAGCAGTTCAAACTGCCACCTACAGCAAACAAAGAACTATTGTGGTGTGAGCTGACCGTTAGTCAAAATTGGTGGACAGTAATTTACTTCAATGTTTATGTCCCAAATATTGGTCGTGAGAAAAATGAGAACAAAGGCTTTCCGTAGGCGGATACAGTTAACATATAGTTGATCTGATATTCAAGAAACAGCTACAAAGAGATGCAAGGTCAACTTGTTGTGAGAAACAACCAATCAGAGGACTGTGTTTTTCTGCTAACAATAATCTATAACAATGTACATAAACAGCTACCTAAAACAGGAGTAATAGTGATATGTGACTGTAAAGCCGAGGGAACTTATTTGAAGGGGTTCTGCGAGTTGAATCCATACTGAGGTCTTAATTCTAGATACGAATCACACTGAGGTAAGTTCGAGAGGCAGCATAAATGATTTGCTATTTATGTGAAATAAACACTTTATTGCTGTCACATACTTATTCTCCAGCAGTACAACTTCAACCGCAGACTCACATGGTGTGAATGACTTACAATACGAGGTTAACTGCCTTTAGTCTAATCTTTATCCAAACTACTTTTCTGGTATCGTAATAACCTAAGGAAAATGCTTTCTAGTCAGTGTATCCAGTTGGATCGTTGTAATATGCGATCTTGACCTCCATCTCAAAGTAGCAGCTATTAATCAGGCATTCCAGTAGATATCACTGTATACTAAAACTACGTATTTCAAACAAGTATATGACTGTTGATAAATACCACTAAACAAGTATCAACATTTCATCAAGTTTCTCATTACTATAAATGATAACAGGACCATAGATTATTGTTTCCATCAAAAATTCTGTTTAGCCGGAGAATTGTCATCCTATGTTTGGTTGACTAAAGCAAAACAAATAGTTTTACAAATCAGAATTACTGCAAATGCAGAAACATTCAAAGAAATGACAAGCTCTACTGGGAATTAGTCTTTTTCTTAAATACCTTTAAAACTCTGCATCACGAAAAAGCTGAATTTGAATTTGTGAACACTATAGAGTATGTCTTACAGGAAAAGTAAGGGTAGATGCTTTAGTGAGCAAAATATAAAATTTAATCATATAACTGTGTGTTAACTGAATTAGAAATAATTCCCTTGTGAAATTAATTACAAGAACTTGAATATTTCTGCACCAGTGAAATGAAATATTTGCTCAAATGTGTGTAAAGTATGAGACTGCACATATATGTGGAAGGAACCGTCATATTTATTAAGTATGTCTATTTTAAGGACTCACTATCTGAAAAACACCTCACGATGACAGTTTAGGCAAAACAAGTTAGTCCAGATGACACAGTTGTAAATGCTTCTTCAAAAAAGTGGCAATTATGACTTATGTATGACTGACATAAAAAAAATTGGCACTGTTTGTATGAAGAGTAGACGAATAGACAGACTTATGAAATATGATTATTGGAGAAAGAAATACAAAATTCTGAATTATGGCTCTTTTCCAGATTTAACACTTCTTCTCTAAGCAACTACTCAATCTGATTACATTTAGAGAGTGACTAAAGAATCAATTAGTACTGCAAATCGGTTTCATCCTAGCTTGGATCTCTTCAACAGAAATCATCCACTTGGGTTCTAAATCGGAGCTTTCCGGTAACAGGCTGAGCTTGTAAATCATACGGTCACTGGGATCCGATACATTAGCCAATCAATTGAAACAACTAATAATTCGCGATATATATATAGAGCAATGTCAGTCAGTTAGTGATTGTCCTCTTGCCCGACTAAGGTGCACCACACTGGTCACGGCTTCTAACTAGAATTTTAGGTCACTTCCTGTAGGGCACCATTCAGTAGTGAGCATCAAATTAATTTTCAGGTGTTGGTTTCAAAGGAATTTGATTGGTTACAGGTTTGACCAAAGTCTGACATCAATGCCCATGGCTGAATAATCTATGAGCTTGCCTTGTAGTTCGAAGGTTCTGGTTTCAAACTCCGGTGGGTGTGTACTGGTAAACAGTCACAAACCATGATAAAAACAGACGCCTTTCTACTACCTGATTCCCCAGTGGTTCTCTAACTGACGTCAACTCGTTATCAAACCTATGACCAGTTTCAAACCATTGCAAACCATTACTTGAAAAATCAATTTGATGTCTAATATGTTTTTTAGGTTGTTAGAATGGGATTCACTAAATTTATTTTGTTTCATTTCTACTTACTAGTAAGCTGAACAACCTATTTGTCTCAAGTAAAATTTTTAACAAAGCACTTAAATATCCAGAACTTCTTTACATTAATATAGTAATAACAATAACTTGATAATTAGTATATTTTAAAGCGTTATAAAAAACTAGGCTTTAGTAACTAATTTACAATAAAGCCAGTCAACGTATGTGCATGTGTGTGTAGCTGTGTGTCAGAAGGATGAAATGGACCTCAAATAGCTTCAAAAGAAACTACTGTTTGGATAAATTAGGGAAGGGAATATCATTTTAATATTAGACGATATACTCATATGGTAAGGGGAAAAGATAAAGAATATTCCCTTTACCTAATTAGATATTCATTATTTATTTAAATTACTTAATTATTATATAATTTTTTTTATTAAAAAGCTAATACAAAGTAATTTTGCATAGATAAAACTTTATGGATATATTTATCTCTTCATTGAGTATAACAGAATGATAGTTGAACACATTTAAACATAATATACGCTGAAATGAATTACAGTAGATCAGGTATGTTCATATATTCAAAATACTTGAATGATATTAACATGGTAGTGCACTCCACAACGCCCATTTAGTCCTCTTTCTGGTACAGGTCTGCTGGATTTATTTGCACTTAACCCTCCCAGGTAAATGGTAGTATTTTCCCACTAAAACTTGAATCCAAGATCTATCTTTTCAAATGCCTAAACCTTAGGAATAACTAACAAGAAACTGGAGACGATCCAACCAAGAGTCTTTCTCCTAACACATATGCTTAGTGAAATAAAGATGGAGTGGCTGCATACTGAGGTGAGGTCAAGTGAAATGAATCATCAGGTGATAACTAGACAGATGAACAATGGATTATCCTTTATTGGTTATATGGTGATCGATATCTAATCTGGAAATTGACCAATTAGCATTGGCCTCCGCAAGATGAAGCCCACTAATTCCTTGATTATGATAACAAACTAACTGACATATTTGCATATAAACTATATACTACTAATTGATTCAGATGATCAGTTGCATACCACTTATATCAACTAGTAGTGCTTGCTACACAGATGGAGGCAATCTAAACACCGGACGGCCGTTTCTCTCGTTCGGGGCTCAGTCAGCCAAATAATGTGGTCCTCCCACACAAAAAGATATGGTAAAACTTCACCTCACAGACTGTGTAGATTATTAATTGTGGATTTCATTTACTAAGTGGCGTACCCTTGGTGATATATTATATGGCACAAATTACCGCGCAAAATGTACTTTGCTGTTCACATCATTGTATATTCTCACTTAAATAGTGCAGACCGGAGAAGCAGGTAGCTATCGGATAATGTTGTTGGCATAGTAAAGCAATATTAGTGATTAATGTGTCTAAATCCAGCATCTGCATCCCTATCCCACTCTGTTTAAATCCCAGTCTTATTGTGCAATCAGATTGTTTGTTCATAATGCCAGGCCCTCGAGTAAAATCCGAGTGGGAAACGACAAGGGATTAGAAGTGGAAAGCATATGGGCAATAGTGAAGCCAGCTTAAAAATTTCGACAGAGGACAGAGTGAAATAGAGACATGTTAGTGAAGCCCTATGCTCCACTGAAAAACAAACGGAATATTAATACTGAATATTACAGCATTTACAACAACTTTATTACCGTCTTTATGGAATTCCATTAAGCCTACTCTATACATCAAAACTAATATTTATTTCTGTTATAGTATATATCTAAGATATTTGATACAGAAATAAGAAAACGTGAATATGACAGCATATCATTACACTATTATGTATATATATATATATATCACTAAGAAACAGAAAGATAAGCTTTTATGATAAGAAGAAAATAAACTAGAAGGGTGTTGTTTATAAAACTCTTCATGTATATTATCAGTTAAGTAATTTACCTCCCTGATATATAATGTATAAATATACACATACATACTTATATAAATGAGTGTATATATGTGTGTGGTAATAAATACACTTGGGAATTGATAGAATTCATCTAAACAATAGATTAACATTGACAACTAATTTACTGATCTAGAACGCTAACTTTCTTGCTTTTTTTAATGACTATAGCAATCATAATAACAATAATAACAATAACAATGATCATAATGTTATCAGTGAAGCTATTCTCTGTAAAAAACATTTCTTCCGACTATATTAATAATTGGAATGACAGGAGTTAAGTTAGTGGAAGCAGATATGCGAGGTGGATACTGAATTCTGCGACAGAAAATGAAAAAAAGTCGACA